TAAGGCAGGCTAATCAGGGCACCTGGGTTTTAAAAAGGAGCTCACTTCAGTTTGTGGTGTGAGTGTGAGGAGCTGGGAGCAAGAGGTGTAAGGAGCTGAGAGTGAGAGGGTGTGCTGCTGGAGGACTGAGGAGCACAAGTGTTATCAGACACCAGGAGGAAGGTCCTGTGGTGAGAATAAGGAAGGTGTTGGAGGAGGCCATGGGGAAGTAGCCCAGGGAGTTGTAGCTGTCATGCAGCTGTTACACGAGGAACTATAGACAGCTGCAGTCCACAGGGCCCTGGGCTGGAACCCAGAGTAGAGGGCGGGCCCAGGTTCCCCCAAACCTCCCAATTGACCTGGACTGTGGGTTCTTCCAGAGGGGAAGGTCTCTGGGCTGTTCCCCAACCCACATGGTGAATCTCTGAGGCAAGAAAATCCGCCAATAAGCGCAGGACCCACCAAGATAGAGAGGAACTTTGTCACACCACATAAGTCATTGTGACTGATTCTGCTTTTCTATTTTTCATGTTATTTTTTTATTTGTTGTGTATTTTTGGGAAGAGTCACTCTCATATATGGAGGTGAGACCTGAGAGTCTGTTATTTTTCACTGGTAACTTTTAGATAGGCCTAAATGTTTCTGCTCCACAACTTTTGACAGTATTAGAAAGTGGTTCTGGGCTGGAATGGGTTAATAAGCGTGTGCTACTAATCAGTTCTCATTCCTAAAATATTGTCCTCAAGGTAATATGCTAGATGTATAAATTTAATCCTCTGGGTTACTTTAGCACCGTGTGTTCCAGATCCTATTTGGTGTTTAAAAAATGGTTCTGGGCTGGAATGGGTTGATGACAGGGTGCTAAAAATCAGTTCTCATTGGTAAGATATTGTCCTCAAGGTGTTTTTTGGTGTTTAAAATATGGTTCTGGGCCAAAACAGGGTAATCATAATTTGTTATGAGTCTGTTCTCTTAACTGTCTGTAACAGTACCTGCTGGGTTTTGCAATAATTTTATTGATTAAAATGCCATTCTGGGCATTACTGGCTCGTTCCAGCTTTTATACCATCACCATCCCTATATTTCTGCCTCTGGGCATGCACGCTGCTGTCTCTTTCTAGGTATCCAGATGCCTATTTCTCACTTAAGCCCCAGAGCGATTCGCAATCTGGAGGAAGACAGATGTTCGGCTGCCTAGGTAGAGTGTGGGGTCTGACCTGGCAGGTGGCCTCTAAGCACACCTACCGGATCAGCCTTGCCCTTCTAACTTTTAGGCCAGGGTTTGAGGTGCTCACCTGATATGTAGGAAACACTGGTTCAAGTCCCTCCTCTACCTGATGGGAAGGATTCAAATGAGGATCAGCCACCTCTCAGGTGAGTGCCCTAACCATGGACTATGGGATATTGTGATCTGGGGCTCCCTCCATCTCCCCTGTCAAAGCTGTTCCACTGGAGATTAAAAAGTCATTTGGACCAGAGAGGGAGACCACAAGCATGAGACTAACTGTATAGCCAGGTGATTAGAGCACTCACCCATTTTATTATGTATTTAATATTCTTTAAAATATAAAAAATGTGGGAAAACCCTCCAAAAGCACCAAAATTAAACGACTTTTTCTTTTTTTAGGACCAAATTCAGAGCCGTTTGGAGATTTTGAAGAAAGAGAGAGAAGAGATTCGGTCATTTAAATTTAACGGGGAAAGTAAAAGCCGGGAACTGCTGGTAGGTGCCATTATTACTGAGAAGCAAATGTGCACAGGGACATTATCACTACACTGCTTAGTCTCAGGCCTGGTCTACACTGGGTGGGGGATTGATCTAAGTTACACAACTTCAGCTACGTGAATAACATAGCTGAAGTCAACATACTTAAATCTACTTACCATTCACTGCGTTAAGTCGACAGTTGACGCTCTCCCATTGACTTCGCCTGCTCCTCTCGCCCTGTTGGGCTACCAGAGTTGACGGGAGAGCACTCGGCGGTCGATTTATGACTTTTGTGAAAGTGTTACTTATTTATTGTCATTGTAAAGAGAAATTTCTGGTTTATGAAAAATGGAGCATTAAAGAGAGAGCTTTAATAATCCAAATATTTTCACTGATAATGTGAGTGTAATTTGTTTACTTAACAGTAGTTTCTCCTTTAGTTTTTCAGCTGTGTCTGGTCAAAAGTTTTCAACCAAAAAACCTTCCTGTAGATAAATGGGGTTTAGTAGAAAACGATTTTTTTCATGGAAAAAAATCATTTGCAACAAAATTTTCATTTTTTGACAGGCAACTTCAAAATGAAGGAAACATTTTGGTGTCATTTCATTCTGAAATTTTAATTTTGGTTTTAAAAAGTTGACAAACTTTCAAAATTTCAGATTTTTTAAAAATCCTTTCCTTTCCCTTTTTATTCACTCCTTTTAGCCAATGAGTACATGAAAATGAATACATTCCAGGGTTTTTTTTACCTAGTTTTTATTTTTGTCACTTTTTGGAAAATGGGAGAATTTTGAAGGGGTACAGAGAAAAATGAATAAAAAGAAAAAAAGGGGGGAATTAACATTATTTTGTTGCATTTTGGGAAAAGGGAGAGAAAGGGAGAAACAAAAATGTGAAATTTTTCAAAAGTTATTTTAAGGTATTTTTTAAAGAAATTAAAACTAGTTGCATTTTGAACACTGAGAAATGGAAACAACTTTGAAATTTCAATTATTTTTGCAAATTCGCCCCACACCCCAATTTTTTGGCCAACTTTACTTTCCACTGAAATAACCACAACAGGACAATCAGTGCAGCTGCACTAGGAATCTGTTGCCCCAGAGGAGGCTGGTCACTTAAGGCCTAAAACAAAGCACAATGAAGTCATTGGAAAGACTCCAGGTCAGTTTGGTGAGCTTTGGAACAGGCCCTTAATGGTATCGCTGCTAGACATTGCCATGAAGAAGGCCTGGGTTCAAAATCTGGTCTGATTTCCTTGCTCCTCAGGGGCCAGAGAGTGCTCCAGAAACAGCATGAATTGATGGACTTCTGTCCAGTTCACATGCACTCATTCCTAAGCAACCTGCAAACTGATTTGCATGTGCAAAAAGGGGTCTTCCCAGCAGCCCAATTTGTGCTCAAGGTCCCTGTGTGGCTTAAAATCCAAGATTTATGGTGTGCCAAATTTTATGTATCCAAAACTGATTTCAGAACTCATGAGAGCAAATGATAGAGCTCAAATTTCAGTACTTTTTTTTTAAAGGCCCTTTATGTCTATATGTATTTTGTCAACAGTATGTGTTCACCAGTTCAAGTCTAGTGCTTCTTAGTTTGGGTTCTACTGTTTCCTCTACTAAAATAATCCTTGCCAGTCCAGTTCTGAATCCCACACCTGCTGTGCTTCCTGTTCTTGGAAGGATCTGGTTTTCTAGAAGCCACTGATCACAGACTATCCGAATCATGCAAGAAAAATTCATATTCTAAACACCAGTTAGGACTCTTGAAAATCTATTGGAAAATCTTCTCTCTGCATAGCATAGAGTATGTTCTCCATAAAATATCAGAAGTTAAATTCTGTGGGGTTGCAATGACATGCTGCCACGTGCATAAAATGTCCCATGGCTTTATAAAATGTCCCATGACTCACTCCGTATTCTTGTCCTTGACCTGTGCTTTTCCTGTTTGTATCTCATCATTTCAGAAACAGCTAGAAACTGAGAAGCGGAAGATTGTGTTTGAATTTCAGCAATTGAGCCAGTTTTTGAAGGAACAAAAGCGACTCTGGCTGGCCCAGCTGGAAGACCTGAATAAAGAAATTAAAAAGAGGAGGGCTGAATATGTTGCCAAATTATCTGAGGAAATATCTGCTTTCAGCTCCCTGATCCAGGAGATGGAGCAGAAGTGCCAGCTGCCAGCGAGGGAATTCCTGCAGGTGAGACAGTGTTAGAAACACCCCAGAACCTTTCACAGTTAAAGAAAGTCTCCTCACTCTTCACTTTTGGAGTGTAGGAGTGAATGGTCAGAACATACAGTATTGCTAAAATATACATTATTTTTCCTTAAGGGCTTGATAAAATGCCCATTAAAGTCAATGGAAATATACTTCTTGAGTACAATAAGCATTGGATCGAGCCCTAAATGAAAATAAATTCTTCTTTTGAATACTAATGGGAGAAGACTCCTCCAAAAATGGCAAACTCCAAACTCTGTTCTCCCTGTCTCATAATGCAAGAACAAAGGGACATTCAATAAAATTAGAAGGTCACAAATTCAAAACTGATCCAATGAATGCTTTTTTACACATTACGTAAATAGACTGTGGAACTCATTACCACCGGATGTCCTTGAGACCAAGCACTTAGCAAAACTCAAAGTGATCAGATATTTATATGGATAACAAGAATATGCAGAGTGATATTAAACCTCATGTTTCATTGCTTCAACTAGTTGCTAACTATTAGAGAGAAAGATGAGAATGTGGGAGGCAGATTATTTTACACCTTCCTCTGAAGCATCTGATATTGTCCACTTTTGGAGACAGAATACTGACCAGATGGACCTCCGGTCTGATCCATTCTGGCATTTCCTGTGTTCCAAACACTAACTTCTGAAGATCTAAGATGGAACCTGTCATTAATTATGGAAATAGCTAAGATTGAAGCGGAGTTTCCATTTAAAGCCTCATTTTGCCGATCTTCCTACATATCACAAAAAGGGGAAAATATAGGCCTTAACATTGATACATGAGCTCTGAGACAGTAGTGATTTTTTTTTGCCGCCAGAACTGAAGTTAGTTAGGGAAGCTGTTCATTATTTATGGTACCCTGAAAGTGTAAGTAGTGATTAGAATTCCAAAAGCCTTCTAGTGACTTTAATTTTCAAAAAATGCCTCTAACTAGGGAAAAGGAAAAAAAGGTGAGAAATAAAACAAATCCTACTGGACTTCTGAGGCCGATATCTACGGTCAAATTCTCTGTTGCAACCAATATCTGCTGTGGGCAGCATTCTTCACCCCTCAGGTTTCGTGCATTGATCCTGCGGTGTAGGATAGTGAATGGCCCTCTGTTACTCTGTACCCCAAACCCATTGTTCTCACCCAGCCCCAACTTCCTGTGGGATGTCAAGAAGTCCACAGGATGGGCCTTCAGAATGCTTGTGGGCGAGTGGGGAGAGAGTTTACAGCATGGGGGCAGCACAGTATGGAGGCATCCCTCTCTCTGGACCCACTGGAGCATGCAGGAGGGGATCTTCCCCACACCTGTGAGTGTTCGGAAGATCCTTGTTCAATACTGAGCCCTCTGATTCCATGTGCCAGCTGGTTATCCCAATGTCATTATGTGAAGAGTTGGTGTGCCTACTATACAAACTTCCTGGGCCCAAATCCTGCAGTCAGAGCACTTATCCAAAAGAGCAAAGGCAACACATTTAATGTTTTTGTTTTCATTGATAAATAACACATATTTTAACTTTGAACCTCAAACTGTGAAGACAAAGTGAGACCCTCCAGAGCAGGAGGGATCCTAAGTATGAGGTATAGGACTGAATTTCCTTTTATCTTTCTCCTCTAGGACATCAAAGGCACCGTGAGCAGGTACGTGGCGCCTTCTCACTCTCCCTTTCACTTTCCAGTGCAGAGAAGTGATTTTGGACATGAGACCTGGCTCCCCATGGTCCATCAGTGCAGAGTGTGGGGCTGGTTCCCAGTCTCCCTCCATTAAATCTAATCTTGGAGTTCTAGTCATTTTGACTAGACTCCAGAATAGACCAGCCTGAGAAAAGAGTGATTTACCTACAGACAGGGGTGTTATTTATAGTGTAGCTGGTGGAATGGAGACCTCAGGGGATTGGGGATGGAGAATGCGTTTTTCATTTCCAGGTCATAGACTCCAAACTCCACCTAGGTTAGTAGGAATGGACAGTCAGGGCCATCTGATGACTATTCAATTAGCTGTTTATTAATTGTTTCTTATTATGCAGTGAGCTCTATCAGTGTGCTTGGCATGGCAAGAGATATGATGGAAGAGACGATCCCTGCTCTAAGAAGTTATAATGTGCTACTAGATGACCCTGGCGGTCCCTTCTAGCCCTATAATTCTAAGTATTCCCTTCCTTCAGTGCCTGGCTCCTAGCATACTGTTGTTTCCCTGGGTTCCCTCTTTCCCTTTCGAATGCACACAGGGTGGCTGCAGACTTTCCCACTGCAGCAGAGTTCAGTTGCCAACTTCCTGGCTTTATACTAGTCCAGCCCACACCTGCTCAGCTGAGCTTCATCTTCCAATCAGGGGTTGCTTCTCTGGCCTAAACTGCTCATGTGTGGCCTGTCTCACTAATCTCCTCTGTCTCAGCTTCCCTCACTCTTTGGGAGCTGGTACGGGGTGAACACTCCACCACAGATGTATTAACAGGAGTGTCGTATGTAAGACACAGGAGGACGTTGTTCCACCCGTCTTGCCACGGTGAGGCCTCAGCTGGAATCCTGTGTCCAGTTTTGGGCACCGCACTGTAAGAAAGATGTGGAAAAATTGGAGAGAGTTCAGAGGAGAGCAATAAAAACGATCAGAGGTTTAGAATGGATGAGCTGTGAGGAAAGGTTGAAATAAATAGGTGTGTTTAGTCTAGAGAAGAGAAGACTCAGGGAGGACCTGATAAGTCTTCAAATATGTCTGAGGCTGTTCTACAGAGAGTGATGATCAGTTGTTCTTCAAGTCCCCTGAGGGCAGAACAAGGAGTAATCTGTTTAATTGGCCACAAGGGAGATGTACATCAGTGTGACGGGTTCCCGGGGCGCAGCCTGGACTGTGGGACTGCTGAGCCCTCCAAATCCCCAACGTGGGCTGCCTCTCACCCCGTGATGCTGATGTCAAGGTACAAGCCTGACAGGCGCTGCACTGACAGATACCTATGGGCAGGGACCTGCCCAGCTGTGTTACATGACTCAGCTCCCAGACATTGATGAACCAGCAATAGAAAGGCGCCAGCCAGTTCCCCCCAGCTCCAGCCCTGCCCCCCAGAACTGCACCGACTCACACTGCTCAACGCTCCCTTGGGCAGTGCAGGTTCATTAAGCAGTTTGCCGCTCCCTCAGTGTGGAGTGGAGACACACTGGCCTTTGTAAGCTGAGAACCCCTGTGCTAGTGGACTGACCATTGTATGTATCCAAAGAGCTAAATAAGAACATAAATTATCTTTGAAATGGGTTAGTGGGTCTCAATCCAGGTCCTGGTACAATGGGTATCTACCTCACCACAAGAATTGTTGCTCATTATCTCCCTTAAATGGTGTGGATATAAATCAGGGGATCCTGCTTACCCACACTCACAATACAAGACCAAGGGGACATTCAGTGTAACTGAAAGGCAACTAGTGTAACGCTGAGAAAAGGAAATACTGGCACTGACTTTCTCATTCCCCTGGGGGTGTTCGACCCCCCCCCCACTCGGCCCCGGGTCCTGCCCCAACTCCACCCCTTCCCGCAAGGCCCCGCCTCTTCCTGCCCTACCCAGCGTCTTCCTGCCCCGCCCCACCCCCTCGCCCCCAGCACATCCTGCTCACTGCTGAACAGCTTATCCCTGGTGGGTGGGAGGTGCTGCGAGGCAGGGAGAGGAGCTGATCAGCAGGGCCAGCTAATGGGCAGGAAGCATTGGTGGATAGGGAGGGAAGCTGATCTGTGGGGCTGCCGGTGGGTGCTGAGCACCCACTATTTTTTTTCCGTGTGTGCTCCGGCTCCAGAGCACCCACAGAGTCAGTGCCTATGTATCGCAGGTCCTTAAATCTCACCCAATTATTCTTGTGTTCAGCCCAATAACTTGTATTTGACTAAATCCTAACGTGTGTTGACAAAAGCGCCTTCCAGAAAGCCAGTCAGTCTAGATTTGAAGACATCAACAGACAGTAACGCTTGAAGCTCCCTAGAAGTGGAGGGGCCACCGGTGCCCAAACCATGGACCCACCCCTGCTCTGCCTCTTCCCCAGAGATCCCTCCCCCTGCTCCCTCCTCTCTGCCCCCTCCCCCATCACTTGCCTTTAAGGCAGGTACAAAGGCAGAGAGCAGAGCTCTCCCACTTTTAAAAGTGATGGGGCCACAGCCCCCCTGTTCTGGTGCCCCTGTCAAGAGATGGAGAATCCACCACTTCCCTTGGCAGTTTCTTCCAATGGTTAATCCACCCACACTCTTTAAAATGTCTGTCTGATTTCCCATTTGAATTTCTCTGGCTTCAGCTTCCAGCAATTGGTCCTTGTTGTGCCTTTGTTTGCTAAACTGAGGAGCCCTTTAGTACAAAGTCTATTCTCCCCATGACGTATTTATACCCCACGCTCAAGTGCCAGGGTTCTCTCAGTGCAAGGCATTTTTACCAGCCCTCACATCATTTTTGTGGGTCTTCTCTGAACCATCTCCACTTTTTCAACATCCATTTTAAAATGGGGACACCGGAACTGGAGGCAGTTTTCCAATATCGGTCTCACCAAAATGAAGGGGAAGCTTGTAGTGTCACAGCTGGGATTGGACCTATTCCTGGGGCAACAGAGAATTTAATCCTCCAGGGTCTGCTGAGCTACAACCAATCACTAGAATAAAATACATGTTAGTAAAACACAAATATGACCGAACTCCACAGCGAGTAACACTGGGTTGTTCTTCAGATGTGAGAGGGAGAAGTTTCAGAACCCAGTGGCCTTTTCTTCTGAACTGAAATGGAGAATCTGGGAATCTTCTCAAAACTCTGCAGTTCTGCTGACCATAGTGAAGAAATTCAAAGGTAATAAACAGTCACCCGGGGAATTTTCTCACATATGTTACACTGATAATTGACAGAGCTGGGGAAATCTCTGAGGGAAAATAACTGTGGATGGAGATAGTCAACTAATCATTTGGAACCTATGAATTCCCTCCTCAGCTCCCAGTACAGCACATACACACTGGGTTCGGGGCCTACATTCGGACTCCCTTGGGGGTTTCCTTTCTTAGCAGCTATGAATGTTAACCTTAGCTTGAGCTTCCTGCTGAATTCACAGTTTTTGAAGTATGTTTGTTTGGATTTTTTCTCTCAAGTCCTCCTGTGTCATCATAGTCCCCCTCTTGCTTTAGAGCGGGTGGCGTGGGGAACTTTTGTTCCATCACGAGCCATTGACCCACAGAAAAAGAACAATGGCGGGCCACTCACCCACGAGGGGATAAAGAGGGAGTGTGGAGGCTCAGGGCTTCCCCCCGCAGGAGGCCGAGCTGGCACTCACGGCTCCAGCCCCGCGGAGGGTGCAGAGGAAGTGGCACTAGAACAATCTTTACAGCGGGGGTGCTGAAATCCAGTGGTCCCCAAACTTTTTACCTGGCACCCCCCCTTACCCCTGTCTGTGCCCCCTCTCCCCAGAGCTGGTGCCAAGACTGGGCTATGGCTCCGGGACGGGGGGCAGGACAGGGGTAAGGTGGCTGAGGCTGGAACCACAGCTGGGGGCAGGAGGAGAGGCCCAGGTGCAGGGCCACCAGACAAGACCCCGCGTGTAGTGCTGGGGGCAGAGCGCCGGGCGGGGATCCGGCAGCCAGCTGGGACCCTGGGCGTGGGGCCGGCGGCTGGGACCCTGCGCAAAACCTGAGCGTCCTAAAGCCCGTGCAAAACCAGGGCCTCCTAGAGCAGCACCCTCTGCACTCCTAGTTCCCGTGGCTCTGTGCAGAGACTCAGGGCTTCCCTCCCCCCCCCCCCAACGTAGGGCTAGTTGGCACTCGCGGCTCCAACCCTGCGGTGGGGGGTGGGTCCTGCGGGCTGGATGAAATTTAGCAACAGGCTGGATCTGGACCACAGGCCATAGGTTCCTCACCCCTGCTTTAGAGATTCTCCACCTTTTATACTCCTGAGCTGGAGATAATGAGACCACCAGGGCTGTCAGGAAGAATGAGCTAGTTTAACTGAGTACTAGTCATGAGCCAGCCACAGGTGTTTAATTGCTGTGTAAAACATCTCTGGATCTGTCATATAACCTTAGGTCATGTCCTTAGTTTTTAATGTTTGTGGTTATTTTTTAGTGAGGTGTGTAATGGTTTGTATGTGTCTGAATTGCACTTAATCTCCTTAACTATAACTTCATAAAGTTTGTTTTGCTTTCATTTTGCTTTTGTGTTAGAACATTAACAATGTGAATATATTCCTCAACATGACAACATGACATTTCATCTTTTGCACCCTTTTCTTCCTCTAGACTCACTGTCGTCTAGACAGCGGTTGGACGAAGGTAAATTTCTCAGATCAAAGGGGGAGTGAAAGCTTTCATATGAATTATGGGGGCTCATTGGCAGCACCATAGTTCAGGTTTTGTTTCAATTTTGCATTTGACAGGAGCTGAGCAACATATTACTGGTGGCTGCACAGATCTTTCCTAAAAACAGAAGAGTAGATTATTTTCTCTTTTAGAATTTAGAATTAAGCCTTACTCATGATCTCGCAATAGAACTGTAGCTGATAAAAAATCCCGATATTTGAGAGTTCTACAAATGAGACTTAATTTTACTTAGAAATCCTGTCAGCTGCCCTTGGTGCGGCTGGGACTCCCGCTGTCAGCCACCCCAGTGTGGCTCCTTCCCTGCCAGCCTGGGAAGTGGGAGAGGGGACCCCACTGTAGCCCCCAGGCCTAGGGAGGGTGAAGAACCCTAGGAGGAGCAGAGGTGAGGCTTTATTATTGCCCGGGGGCTGCAGGGGGCCTGAAGTGAGTATGGAGCTGATGGACTGGGAGGGGCTGTATTGCTGGTGGGTTCTGAGCAGATAGGGTGAGTGCTGGCAGGGTGAACTGAGGGCAGTGGGGTAGGGGTGCTGAACTGATGGAGTGATGATGGGGACTGGGGGACTGAATTGCGGGGGGTTGGATGGGAACAGAACTGATGGGGATTTGGGGGACAGGATTAATTGCTGGGCAGGAGACAGGCAGATGTACTGGTGAGAGCTCCTGTAGCAGGAGCCAAAATCACCTTCTCCAGGACACGTGGGAGAGTGGGCGACACTGATTGTCACATGCGCACACCCTGGGGAGGGGCCAGGGGAGTTCAAACATCAAGAGACTGAACTAAAAATGACAATAGAATCCTTTTAAACATGTCATTATTGTTGGGCCAATCTCATGAGATCTGATTTGTTGAAGTCGGCAATACTGTATTAGCCATTGCATAGCCTTGGGGCCAGCAGTGTGGAGTTTGGAAAGTCCCCGATAGACCAGCACAAGTCGAGCAGCCGTTCAGTAAGTGTGCGGTGTCCTCACCCACCCCACAGCTACACAAAGTCATGGGGGGCCAGTGGGGTCTCTGTAAAAGCAGGTTTTCTAGTGCTCAGCTGGCTGATCGTTAGGAGGGAGGGGGCTCTGCAAGGAGACGGGGCTCCGAAGAATTGCATCATGGGCCAGGGGGACTTTGGATTCCCTATAATCTATTGGGAGCCTCCTATGATGCCAGGATCTCTAATCACATCTGTGGGGAGAGGTGGATGCAGGTGGGGAAAGATTCCAGGGCCTGATTGTCAGGCCCTTTTATGCTGCTCTGTGAGAGCAAAGGGGCCTTAATGTGCCTGGAAACAGTCCCCAGAAAATAGCTCCGGTGCAAGGGAGCTATCCCCGTCCGTGTGAAGTTGGCACAGGGGCTCCACAGCAACTCTGCTCCCAGCCGTTATTGTAGCAGTGGGTTGGGGGCATATTGGGGGCCAGAGCTGTCCCTAGGAGGATGCGGGGTCCAGGGTGGAAGTGATGGATTTGTTTCTTCTGGGACAGACTGCGCTGGCCAATCGCTCTAGCCCAAGGGGCCCCCCAAAGCGCGGGGCCTGGCGCAGTCACCCCGATTTACTCTACACAAGGGACGGCTCTGCTGGGGGCATAGACAGGATGCATCGCACTCTGGCTGCTCTCTGCTTTGCAGCCCTGAGGCCCCTGTAACTAGGGGTCAGGGAGACTAAAGGAAGGACACAGGCGGCTTAAACCCACCTCCCTCTAACCCCCCTTGTCTTTCCCCCAAGCACAAGGATGGAATCACTGAGACTCAGACTCTGGGTCTCGGGGCCTGGCTCAGCGGAGCTGATCCTTTCACTCTGTCCCTGAACTGGCTCTGTCGGGGTGTGAATCCCCCCTGCCCATGGCTGAGATCTCAGCGCTGCTCCCCAGGCAGAGCTGGGTAAATCCTGGAGCGGGGAGATTCTCTGACTCACTCCCCAGCTGGGGCAGGTTCTGCACTGACAGGATCAGACCCTCCCCCAGGGCTGAGCTCTGCCCCTCACGCTCTGATTCTCTCTCTGCAGCGAACGTGACTCTGGATCCAGACACGGCCCATCCCGACCTCACCGTGTCTGCGGATCGGAGAAGTGTGAGAAGGGGATGCACACAGCAGGATCTGCCCAACAACCCTGAGAGATTTGACACTGCGCCCTGTGTGCTGGGCTGTGAAGGATTCACCTCCGGCCGACATTACTGGGAGGTGGAGATGGAGGGGAGGGGAGTCTGTGCTGTGGGGGTGGCCAGAGAGTCTGTGAGCAGGAAGGGAGGGATCCAGGTTAACCCTGAGCAGGGGATCTGGGCTGTGGAGGGCTGGGGGGATCAGTACTGGGCTCTCACGTCCCCTGAGCAGCGCATCTGTTTGTCCCTGAGCCGGGCACCCCCCAGGATCCGGGTTTATCTAGACTATGAACGGGGGCAGGTGGCGTTTTTCGATGCTGGTAAAGAGGATCCGATCTTCACTTTCCCGCCGGCCTCTTTCGCCGGGGAGAGAATCCGCCCGTTCTTCCAGGCTGGTGTTAGTGTCCCGCTCTTTGGGGTTCTTGGTACTGTGCGGCTCACCCTGTGTCCCTGAGTGCCCTGTCTGTCCCCATGAAACAGGCTCCTCTAGCCCCCACCCTCCTGATCTCTATGACCTGGAGGACTCAGCCAGTCTCCCTCCGCACAGACAGGGCTGAACGGGGGTGACTCTCTACCCGTAGCTCTATGGCTGTGGAGGTCTGTGTGAGGCTCTAGGCGGGGGC